AAGTTGGCAGTCGTCACGAAGTAGTGATTATGAACTGATTGCATTCATTTTCAGCAAACAGAAAACAAATTTTGACAGGGGATACAGGTACTTGTACTTTCAAAGAGGCAGATTTATCATCACTGAGAAAATTAGAAGAAGGAAAAGTGTAAACGGAAAACGCAAAAAAACATTAGGAGTGCCTTTAAAAAGAAATTACTAAATAGCTTTTTTTTTTTTTAAAAAAAAAAGCCTGGATTCAGCAATTGTCAAAGAGGATACTGCAAGCTGTGGACTGATGGCATGGCTTTCCAGTGCCCAGTATCTCCAGAAAACTTATTTCCTACCATGGTTAAAAACTTTGGCCGTTCTGTAGCTGCTGGTTTAGCTGCAGGAAACCCCAGCATCCCCGCAGCTCTGGGGTGCCCTTGTACCCCAGAAGGCAGCGGTTGTGATTGGCTTTTTACTCCGTTTTATTCTGAAACGCGCTGATGTTGTGTGCACTGTTCTCCTGCACCCGCTCCGGGAATGGACGGAGGAGTTGAGGTCCCAGCTGCAAATCCAGCGCTTTGCACAGGAGCCAATTTCACATTAAATTAATGGCAAAAAACTAGGAGATGTTGAGACTGTTAAGAGGCTCCTCTAAAAATATCAAAGTCCTGCGCCATCTCCGCCTCCCCCGTTCCGTTTGCCCGAGTTCCCCTTTCCCAGACTCCAGCTGTTCCCAGCCAAAGCCCGAGGAGCTCCCCTGATTATCACCTTTGCTGGGATGTGGATTGGGCATCTGACTTTCCACTTACACCGGCAATTAGAAGGCTGCCCTGAAAGGCAAAGTGTCAGACACTCTTGGTAAGAGTTTGTGAAATGCAAAGAGGGAAAAAAAAGAGAGGGAGAGGAAATAAGGTCTCACCAGCAGGGTAAAGCTGCAACTTCTCATAGGTTTTGAAAGAAAACGGGAGAGCAGCCTTGGTTTGAATGCAAGCGTGGAAGGATGAGACAGGGCAATGTAATTCAGCTAGCAGTGGCATTTAATATGGCTTGAAACTTTTGTTATCTCTTCTAAAATGTAATGATGATGGAGAGAGAAAGTGCTGCTGTCCTGCCCAAGCCTCTCTCATAAGAAAAGCTTTGGTGAGACCAATGGATTTCCCTGTGCCCAGCTCCATTAAATATCGCAGGACCTCACAGATCACCATCTCGTGAGCGGTGCCACGAAGGCCAGTCAGAGCTCACCCTCGCGATAAGCTTTAACTCAGACACGCTGCCGCTGCGAATGCTTAACAAGAGCTTAACTTTAAGCGTGGGACTAAGGGCGCTGTTGAAGCCCTTAATGTGAAGAGCACACACCTCCTTCTCCTTGAGCATCTTCTGGTTCCTCTGCGCTTTCAGTAGTGCAGGAGGATGCCTGACGTTTTAACGCTGGTTTTGCCTTAAAACACCTTGACATTTTTTGAAATCATTTCTGCTTATATGTGGTTCATTACATTTCCTTTTTTTTTTTTTTTCCCAGCACAGCATAAATGTTAATGCTGAACCACGCTGCTGCCAGGTACGTAAGAAGTTCTGCCATTCCTCAGAGACTGTGGTGCCGCTCAGACGGAAAGGATAACGTGACAGCTTGACAGCCTTTGTATGTGTTACAAGTTGTACCGATATAAAAGCAACGAGGTAGCACACAGAAGGTATCATAGCAAATGCAGCTCGGATTGAAGATGACAGGCCGGGAGATAATTTCCTGCAGCATGGGCTGATGTCCGTAAAAGACTCAGGTGTGGCAGCATTTCATCCACAGCCCTCTGCCTAGGAGTTTGTGCTGTAGAAATCTCTGGAGCCTTCCCCACATCAGCCCGACCCCCGAGCCTGCTGCATTTTCACTGCAAAGGCAGCTAGAGTGTGAGGAGTACTGTCCTGTCCCCCCAATACGGGGAGTTTCTACTCAGATGTGGGTTAAAAACTAGCCACAGCATCCATCATACTGAGACGATAGCACAACCGGTTGATTTTTTATTAAGAATCTTCAATTTTTCAGCCACTTTAACAGATGATGGTGATGCTGGGCACAGAGTCAGAGTAGGGAGGGTCTGGGTGTTACCACGAGTCCCCACGTGCGGCTGCTGGGAAGGGACAGGGGTACAGACAGGGGCAAAGAGGTGGGGACGCCAGATGCCAGACATGGGTGTTAGTGATGCCCGGCCTGGTGTGGAGCCACCCAGGCTGTCCATGCTTACAGCTTTTCCCCAGGCCTCCCCTCTGCGCTTATCACCGGGCTCTCGGCCCTGGACGGGACCATGCACTGGGCTCAAGGGCTGTGAACGCAGTGGGGTGGTGGGACTGAGGAGGGGGATGATGCGACATCTGTGCTGCTCCCCTAGCAATAAATCAATATCCACGCTGGCGGCAGGGCTGGCACGGCTTGATTGCTCCCAGATTTGTGCCCTCTCCCTGCACTGCAATACCCACAGTTCTCCCCACAGTAACACTGGGTCTCCTTGGCCACCCCTTCCCCATCTCCCCCAGCTGTCATACACATCCACACAGACCCACCGCGTGCTTTTATGTACCTTATGTCCGCAGGACACCAGAGCGAAGGCAGCCAGATGCAAAGCAAGAGGAGCCGAACGGTGCAGGATCCTGGCAGAGGGGAGCAGAAAAGGGCTCAGCCCCTGTCCACCCCACTGGTCCCAGCCCCACGTCCCTGCCGTGATGCTCTGCTCCCCACTTCTCCCAGCAGCCTGGCCCCCACAGCACTGGATGGGATTGCTCCCAGGCCTGGGGGATGATGTCGGGAATCCAAGTGCTGGAGGCTGGAGGGAAGCCGGGGTTAATGCTCTTCATTCTCAGGCAGGAACCAGTTCAAACGCTTTCTTCCCCAGGAGCCTGTGCAGATAAATCCTCGTTGGCTTTGTTCTTCATGGTGATAGCTGAGCTCATGGCCTTCAGGCTATGCCCTGCCCCAAGCTGGGTGGAGAGGAGCTGGAACTGAATGCCAATGCCATTAAGATAAATGCTACATAGTCATGAGAAGGAAATGGCCAGAGATCCAGCTCATTCAATTCTGATTCCAGCAACCCATGGTGCTGTAGCCCAGCGCTGGTGACTGTGAGTCTGTGCTTCTGCCTTTTTTTAATCCCTCTTAAAGCTCTTCTTTTGCCACAGGCGTTTACAGCAGTGAAAAGTGCCAGCCTACCCACCAGCCAAGGTGACAGCAGGGATGCTTGGGTGACCTCAGACCTGGGGTCCTGCAGGGCAACAGAGACCCTTGACATCTCGGTCTTCCTGATGAATGACTCAAATCCACTGCAGAGTCCAACGGCTCCCTCTTTTCACCTGGTCCATGGCCCATGGCCACCCTGTCTAGCCAGACAAACTCATTTCGGAGTCCTCCCACCAGCAGCAGGTTCAGCCAGGGCCTCGGGGACTACATCCCACAGAGATGGACAGCAGTGACCACCTCAACCCCAGAGCCACAGGTATCTCAGTGGGTTATGAACCAAGGAGAGGAGCCTGACATGAAGTGTGGAAGTCATTATCATTGGTGACACCCTGACCAACAGTTCAGTACGGTTCAAAAACGGATTAAACTACATTATCATTGTGTTTCTCCAGGGGCTGTGTTGGTCAGCTGTCCTTAAGGAAGGGTCAGGGTTAAAATGCTTCACCTGGGAAGGGATGGGGTGGGAGGCAGCTCTTTTCTTTCTGCACTACAGCTACAGCTGATTCCTGGCAGGTTCCGGCACTGCACTGCTGCAGCTCACACGGAGAGCATCACCTCTTGCCTGTCAGATATGCCTCTAGGTTTTCTCTTTAAGGAAGTTTTGGCTTAAACTCCGCAGCAGCTCAGGGAGAAGGGCTGGCGTTGTGGGCTCTGCTCCTCCTGCCGATTCAGCCCAGTCCCAGGCCCTGCCCAAGCAGATGAGCTTTACCAGAAGCAGGCAGGATCACACAGGTAACTGAGACTGTGCGCAGGTTTATGGGAGCTGGGCACTGGCGTACATTCAGAAATATGACAGGTTTTTTCCCTCCATTTTTAGACCTAAGAATAAATATAAGCAAACACATGGCTACTTTAATAATTGTATTTTATTGTTTCTTTCAGTTTGAAAGCACACAAAAATTGGAAAATATCCCTAAATTGAAACAACTGTAATACATAGCCAGAAAAACAAGGGTCTGATTCTATAAACTGTTACTCATGTGAGCGAACCTAAGTTCTAATATTCCCATTGACTTTAGGATTCTAAATTCTGCCTAAAACCGTGCAAAGCCCACCATGCAGGGGCCAAAAATATAATCCTTTAAGTTCCAGACAATATTTTATGTATTTGTGTATATGCATACGATACCTATGCACATATATATGTTCCTTTGAGCTCTAGATAATATTTTATGTACATATATGTATGTATGTAGACAATATGCATACATCCAGTATGTATGTAGACAATACATACATTCATATACTATATATATGCACGTGTGTGTGTGTGTGTGTGTGTACAATATATACATGTAAGTGCTTCTGCTCTCCAATTCACCATAAACATGACTTGGACAGACAAGGACCAAAACCAGGAGTCTAAGAACGAAAACCGGAACTCCCACATTACTTCTTCACCCAGCGACGATCGCTCCTCCTTTGCCTGTAGCTGTTTGCAACACTCCGGGGTGGGGACTGAAATAAATTGGATGCAGCTCCATCAAATTCAATGAAATCTGGCTTGCATCAAGGGGGCCCCAAGAAGCGTTAGGCTCCATAGGTACCCCTCACATAGGTATATGTGAAGATGGATGCTCCCCTAAGCCCATCTATATAGACGGTGCCTTTAAGTGCACCCTGTCTGCAGGGTAGCGGGGCATGTGGGAGACCCACATCCCAGCTGCTGCTGACCCTTGCAGGTGGGTATTTGGGGTTCCCCCCAGAACCTTTATTGCTGGCCCTGGGGCTGGGGACCGGCGTGGCTCTGGGCAAGGCTGCGGGGAATTGGGGGACTGGGTGACATCCCCAGCTGGCTGCCTATGTCTCACACCAGGGCCATGCCATCTGTGATGCAGCTGCACTTCTCGACGATCATGTTGGGAAACTCAGCCGCTTCGATCTCAGTGCGGTTGCCCCGCTTGACGAGGTACATCATGGGGAGCGGGGAGCTCTCCGCCACGGCGCAGGTGCGGTCCCCATAGCCGAAGCGCCACAGTGGGCTGGGGGGCTGCAGGCAGCCCCCTGAGCACCGGTAAGCCTGGTACCCTGCTGGCTCGATGATCCAGTGCTGCGTCCAGGCGAGCTCACGGAAGTTGACGTAGTGTTTCTGCCGGCAGCAGGTGGACTTCCCCGTCAGCGCCTCCTCCTTGCAGTCCCCGGGGCCCCTGCGTGCCAAGGGAGAAACAAGAACTGATGCCATAACTGGAAACCGGGAAGGTGGGAGAAATAATCCTCCTGTTAATAGCACAGGCGGGCCCTGAGACGTGAAACTTGGGCCATGCTTGCATTTCATTTGAATATTCAGACAACAAATATGGGAAGAGGAGAGGTGTGATTCAGCAGCAACTTTCTACAACTCCATTCACAGCGGTTTACTTGCGAGGGCGAGAGCTGCACGCCCTGGGTTGGCACACACAGTACAATAATTCAGGGGCAAAGTTACACCGGAGACAGTGCAGATTTAAGTTTCATACGTACCCATAGTCTTCCAAGTTGAGAGTGTAAAGCACCAGTTCAGGTTTGCCTAGGGCTTTGTCTTTGGGGTCCTGAGAGGTGAAACGCACAGCTTTGGCCATTTCCGAGGCATGGCTGCCTACCCTTTCTCCTTCAATCCAGACCTCCAGGAACATTGGCTCCCGCCTCTTGTTTCGCAGCCAGTAATGCACAGCCTGCGTCACATCAAAGTTCTTCCAACCTGACTCACGTATAGGAACCAGCCTGCGCGACAAGGGCTTGGCATTAGAGAAAAATCTATCAAATAAAGCCCAGGCTCGCAGTGCTGTTATTGCAGCAGAATAATTTGCTTCCCGTAGATTGTCACATGCCTTGATTACACAATAATTTTTGCTGAGCGCTCTGGATGAGCACCCACGGCAATTAACTCACACCTCAAAAAGAAGTATGCAGTTCTAATTGACACTGAAGGGCTAAATAAAACCCTTTGTGCATGCTCATATCAAGGTATTAATTCATGCTCATACCAAAATATGACAGTGCAGGATTATATGCAGCCTCAGCGTTTAGTGATGACAGCCTGGTAAACACCACTACTCCCACCTGCTCCTGTCCTAGCTGCGTCAGGGCCATAAGCTTCTGCCCACCCAGAAAATTGGTCTGACGTCGAATTCTGCCTTCAAGGGTTGTAAAACTTCCACAGAGCTCAAGGCTACAGAATCAGATGCTTTTTGCATAATTTACTTATTTAAACTAGGTAATGAAATGGCCAATGGAAAGGCTACCGGTAGCCAGTAACCCAGATGAGTTAGAGAGTGAGAGGGAAGTGAACCAGGTGGAGGGTTTTAGAGGGGAAGACCTAGCAGCACATGGCAACGTTTCACACAGAAATAAATTATTTCAATGAATCATCATATATTGCAGCCTTAACCTAATACCTGCTCTTACGAACTCATTCTGGGTTTAGAGGCTATAGAGCATGACTCTACAGATGTAAGCCCATCAGACTGACCGGAGGCACAAAAACACAACACCCAAACCCAGCCCAGAGGACCCATACCTCGTAACTGGACTCCTGCCTTCAGGAGAGGTCCCTTTCTTACCTGGAGTCTATCAGGGAGGTCCTGTTGGTACCGTCGTGCTGCCGTTGCACCCAGTACACGCTGACTCTGGCGTTGGAGACGGGCCTGTGGGACGGCTTGGCAGGCAGGTTTGCTCTGTCCAGAGGCTTTTTGAAGAGTTTCAGTTCAGCCATTGTCACTTCGCTGTTTTTAGGTATCCTGCCCTCCATGTCAAAGATCAGGTTCTGGCGCGTGGCGGTGTCGGAGTAGAGGACTTCTCCTGCCATGCCTGTGCACGTTGGGAACAAAAAAGACAGCCTGTCATTGCCATCCTGGTGAGCAAAGCCCCTACACTTTTATGCACAATTATCATCACAACACACTCCTACATTGAGCCCTTGTGGCAGAGACAGCCACTAAACACACCTTTTCTAACGCAGACTTGAATCAATGTCTTGCAAATGCCCTAATTCTTCTCCTACATCTGAATCTCTGCAATCTGGAGGAAAGAAATCTCCCATATAATTTGACCCCAAATTGAGCAAACCCGGAAAGGTGCGCAACTCTTTGTGCAGCGCTGGGCATGAAAGCAGGAAACTGCACCACTTGCAATGAAAAAGTGTTTTCATTTGCTGCCCAGGGTGCTATGTACGTCTTTTGAAAGTGAAACAAGCTCTAAATGTCCTTGTACAGACACCATTGTGCCTGTACAGCTGATTTCCTCCTTGACATTTTTCCCAGACAAAAAAAAAAAACAGAGACGGGAGAGAGTGAAACATGCTCAAAGAGATGTGATTCCTATTAAAGGACTTTCTGCAGTTTTGACCCAAAACCTGCAAGGTCTGCACCTTCTACTGACTTTTTTTTTTTTTTTTTTTTTAACATCATTTTTCCACCTGCCCAAAATGTTGCCTGGGTACCAAAGCTTTTCTCTTCTATCAAGTTCCAGCAGCAGCCTGCCCTTTGCAAGGACAGTGGGACCCCCTCTCCAGGTGCAAGGAGTTACCAGTGCATGTTAATCTTTACGATGCTGTTACATGCACCTCTTCTACGCAGCTCAGGCTTGGAGCCAGACCCAAACCTCATTCCCCCCATGGTTTTGCCTCTGCCCGTCCCGCGTGGGCAAGCGTGGGCAGCTTCTCCTGGCAGCGGCCCAGGGCTCTGTGAACTCCCGACAGTGACGGCAGAAACATTACCTGCGTTGCCAGGGATCCCCCTGAGGATGCCGGCCAGGCTCGTCTCTGGCGCTTCAGCATGGAGATGTATTTGTTCTTTACGTGGTCTGGGATAACCAGATCCACCAAGTCTCTCTTATGAAGTTTAGGGACCTCAGAGAGCCCCAGCTGCTTCAACAACACCTCCTTGAACCCTTCCCGGGTAAACGCTCGGACCGTGACAATCAGGCAGAGCACACAGAGCATCCGGGTGAACTTTGCATCCATCCTCCTTCGTTGGCGAAGCAGCCGCCTGCTCAGCAGAGATGAAGGGGGGATCCCCCCAGGGCTGCTCTCGGCAGAGATGCGGTGGCAGGCTGCCTGAGCGGGACGGAGGTTCCCTGCGCCGGGGTTTTATAGCCAGCCTCGTCCCACTGGCACAACAAATTCCACAAGTGGGGACGAAGCAGAGGACTTAAAAGGATCACTCCCCCGTCAGTAGACACATGCCAGTTTAACACCTTCATCTACTGCAAAGTTAATACAAGAAGGTTTAGGGGAGCTTCTAGATTCCTTCACAGGGAAGAAGTTTCCATCCCTTTTTAAATCTCTGTAAGCTTTTGCCCAGAAAACCCCTGAGTGATCAGTGTCTCCTGCTCAGCTTAGGTCAGGGAGGAAACCCATCTGCAGAATGCATTGCTTTATGTACCACACCATATGATTCTTAAAGGAAGGGTCAATCTTTACCACAGGAGACTTGCTACCTAAAACAGCCAATATCAATCAGGAGAGTCATGCTTTAGCTGGAAGTCCGTCTTTACGGCAAGGCATTAAAAAATCATTTAAAATCTTTTTTTGAGAGGTAGGTACAGCTCTGATCTCTGAATATTTGTATCAAGCCTGTGAATCAGGGCAGTGAATCGCAGCAATTGAATGGTTTATGGCCTTTTACACTGCTTCTGAATCACAGAAGGCAGAAGATGTACAGGCCTGACATTTTAGAAAAATGTCCCATCACTCTTTATGGATTCCTGTGCATTTCATAACACTTGTGCTTAAAAGAAGCTAGCTTTCTATAAAGGCAGATCACCTTTCAGTGAACATGAGAAACCACTCTGCTTTTCTACAACATGGATTAAGAATATTGATATTTTGAATGCTATTAACAACCACAATAGAGAGCTGTTTCTGGAGAGCGAAGCTGACCTGGAGGCTGGGGGGGGTTGTTGGATGTTTGCCTTGAAGTCAGTCTTTAAACTTGAAGCTCACATCCTTTGCCTCCCTGGCCTTTGCTGGCATAAGATGCAGAAGTCTATTTTTGAAACCAATCCCAGGAGAAGTGAATTGAAAAAAGTAAAATGTGATCGATAGCAGTGTGAAGTCTGGCACTTGGGGCAGATTCTCATCCTCTCCAGCAATAACATGCCTGAGCATACATACAAACGTCTTCAGCATCAAAAGTTCTTTGGATTTTATATGTGTCTGTAAATGATTTTAAATTGGTCCAGTTTCATCCAATGCCCAGGCTGAATGGTGTGCCCTGAGAAAATCTGGCTGGAGGACCCGATGTAAGGACAAAGGCACTCCGTTGTGGTTCATCCCTTATTAAAACAAGTGTCAGCCGAGGCAGCCTGGTTTGTACGTAGAGGAAGGCAACAAAACCATCTGAAAGAGCCTAACTAAACACTTCTGCTGCTGCTTATTTTGTCTTTATAACCTTTTATGAAACTTGTCTCCTTAAACACGATAAAGCCTCCATTAGATGTTAAAGGGGCACCTTATTTAGTTGAATTGAGTTTTAAGGCTAGAATGGAGACATAGGCTACAAACTAAGAGTTTGTGCATGGCCCAAGGCAGTACATTCTTTAATCTTTCCCTTTGTGTAGCATCTTTCTCTGAACAAATCAGTATTTTCTGTTATATTCATTCCCAAGACACAAATAGCAGTGAAAAACATCCACTTCATTTGACCGCCTCAGCTTCAACTCACGTCAAAAACTTCTGCTCTTGCAAACAGGAGGAGGGAAGGTTTTTTTTTTCTGAGATCTTTGTGACCCTCTCAGCCCCTTAGGAAGGCTCCGTACGCCCGGCTGTCCCCTCCGGACTGCCTCCCCAGCTAAACGGCACGTTACTGATTCTCATGGGATGGAACAAATGCAGTCACACGATGAACTGTTTCGGAGTCTTGGGTCGAAAGCTGCATCTAAGCAATGTTCAGGTGGCTGACAAAGTTTCCTTCAGATATGCTCTGTAAGTGTAGGCTAACCCGCTTCCAGCAGTGAATTTGTTATGTTTATGTAGTGACAGTCACCTGGATAAAACTGCAGTTCACGGATTTGTAAAGGTCTCTCTCTCTCCTGTCAGAAGACCTGATCCTCTATACCTTTATCCATCCAATTAGTCTTTGCTCCGTAGAGTGGTCCTACTGCGTAGTGAGGGCTCTTCAAAAAACCATGATAACATGAAATGAAAATGCCTGCTTGCTCCAGCAGCACCTGGCTTTCCTGGATCTGGATGTGGATTTCTCCTGTGGCTGCTGTCTAATCTACCAGGACTCTTCACTGTCCAATGTGTATTAGAAGATGATTTATGGGCTTCACACATAAAACAAAATTATTGACCAAACACAGTTGAAGCTCAGCTAAGAAGAAAACAGAGGATGTGGATTGTAGGCTTTTCACAGGAGAGTGATTATCTGGTCCAATTGGAGGATTTGCCATTCCTCCTTTGTCATGCAAACAAGAAAAAGTCAGGAATTTTATAATAGCTCTTTCTGTGTAATGTGTATTAGAACCCGTGTGGCTCATTCAAAATGTCAAACAGAGGATTGAAAGAGGCTGCAAGGGACAAAGTATGAGCAATTCCCAGTTTTAATAAAAGCCAGTACTTAGTGAAGAGGCAATTTCTGTATTCAAACTTTTAATTTAGTTGCAAGCGGTTCTCTAAGACATTTGCTGGGCATATCTATGCAATGATTTTTGGTCAATAAATCCAATGGGTTCAAAGAGAAAGTGTGAAAGGCTTAGCCTAATTATGTAGCTATTATCCTGGGAAACAAGAATGTTTCAAATGTATTTGCAGCATGTCAGTGAGGATCTGAATATTTAATTTCTCAAGACTTGAATTTCCATGGACATAATTATTTTGTATTACAATTGGATGCATATTAGAACAGCCTTTGCTTGAGTCATGTGAAAGGCAACAATTTTTTTGTGCTCCAAGAAATGCTTTGATTTGTGCAACAGGTTTATCGTACAGAGATGGGAGCATATCTCTGTGTAGATTTTGGTCTGTTTTTCCCCAAAGTCAGGGTCTTTTGAATCTAGGAGTGTGGAAGTAAAAATAGTAGTGGTTAAGATGCAGATATAAACTTGCCAATTTAAAAAAGAATTCAAGTAGAAGTTCTGTTTCATATTCCTTTTCAGTCTTAAGCACAGCAAGTTTTACATAGCTAACAAAACACTGCAAAACAGGCTGGTCATGTGAAGTGCTGGATTAGAGGTTTCAAAAGTGGAAGTAAACTGCAGGCTGTGCATGCAGGCATGCCCTTCTCCCGCTGCCTCACCAACACACCCCAATAGCCACCAGCCACTGCTTCAAACTCAGTATTCCCACCAGCATTTTAAACCCAGGCTACACACCTCTAAGTGCGATTTCACAGGCATCTTTGGCTTCCTTCTTGACCGGCACTGTCTGTGCTGGTGGTGGGACCCTTGTTCCTCTGCAGGGACCATCCCTGTGTCAAACAAGTCCAGACAGCAAGCGTGGAGCTCACCAAGCCCATCGCTGGAAAGCCGGTAGCAGCTCGATTTCACTCAGTCTGGGTTTATGCCTAATTTCTAAATAGTGACCGAGGCAAAAAGGCATTTCCATTTCCCATCTCTCAAGCTGCCCAGCACCTTCAGCGCAGCAGGAGAGTGAGGAGTCACTAAGAGCAGGAGATGCAGCACAACACTTCTCCCCCCGCCAGAAAGGCAGCCCTGGGTGTTGGTGTTGCCTTTACGCAAGGAGAGAAGGGCAACGTATGCCTCATTCCGTCCACCCTGTGTGGCTTCCTCAATAAGACTCTGGTATTCCACAGAAGCAAGACCTTTGAGAAATTTGAGAAATTCCTCTGGCACAAAGAGCAAGTGAGCAGGCCACAGGGTTATTTTCACACTTGTTTGCCACTTTAGCTCCAAACACCACCAGCCACCAGCCTGGTCTAGAAATGCTCTGATTTGTACTACACTTGTGTCTTGAAAAGAGCATATGACTGCTGAAAGATACTGGGAAACCGTCTTTGCCAGGGTGGTGGCTTTCCATCCTCCTCCACCTGTAGAGACACCTACTCTTTCATTAGGGCATGAATAGCTTGCTCAGTGTACAGAGCCAGAGTAACAGCACCCAGGACTTCCGTGGGGCCGGTATAGCTCACTGGAGTTTGCATGTGGGCTCCCCACGGCCTCAGCCTGCTCTGCAAGAATCTGGCATGGAAAAGTTTCATAAGATATGGCCTGATAACACAAGATATCTGTGTTACCTGTCTCCCAGAGCCAGATTGAAGATAGCAGAGCCACTGAACGCAGAGTGTTGATCTGCACTAAATCCTTTCTGCTGGTCCTGATTTGTTCCAAAAATTTGGCCGTGTTGATTTTTGTGCCGAAAAGCTTTGTGCTCGATCAGATATTGCCTGACTTACCTGTCCTTACATGTGCATTTCCATGCATTCCCCCTGGTGAGCATAAAATCATAAAATGGACTTCATATCTGTATTGTGAACTCTGGCTAACACGGGTCTGGGAAATATAACTCCATGTCCCAGGTCTGAGCTGAACTGTGTTTATTCTGACCTGATAGCACATAGGTCATGATCACACCAAAGACACTGCAACCACAGCCTCAGTGCCTAACATTTACTCTGCCTGCCAGCTAAGGAGCCAGTTTCAGTACTAAGTTTTGTGGTGCAAACACTCATCTCTTGAGCTACACAGAAATTACCCAATTCATTTAACCTAGGCAAGGACACGAGTCTGCTTTTCCTCATCACCAGTCTAGGCCAGACTGAACTGGCCATCTCCACTGGAAGTATCTTACAGATCATATGTCCTATTGGGTTCCTCTCACAAATGCTGGTGGTGAAGCCACAGGCAGCAATGGGGATACTGTTCCCTATGCATTTATCCCACAATGTATCCAGTATAGTGAAAACCCCATTTTATTTGAGAGAGAGATTGCAAACCTGGTTTGATCCATGTAATTTCTGGTGCTGTGTATCTTAGATTGCATTGACTTAAGCATGCCTTCCA